CTTCTATTTCCTTTTACTTTCCTCTTGTCCCACTATCATGCTCAGCCTTCATTTGGGTTTCAGTAATTCCTCTAAGTTACGTTGCCCTTGATCAAGCCCTACCAGGCCTCCTACACCCTCCTCACCACCGATTTTGGATCTCTTGTTGTTCCCTTCCATTAACTTTTTACTCCCTTGCCTGGGCACAACTACAACTACAGGGGGCTTAGTGGGCTAGGCATTGGGCTGCTAATTGCAAGGTCAGCAATTCGAAACCCCAAGCTGAGAGAAAGATAAGGCTGTCCACTCCCATAAGGGGTCACAGCCTCGGAAACCCACCTGGGCAGTCCACTGTGAGTGGGCACCGAATTGATGGCAGTGAGAAGGAAGAGTGCGGTAGGTAATTTTAGATAATTGGAAATGTGCTTGGATTTCCATTTCCAAATCAAACGCCCCCCCTTTTTCAGATGTGCACCTCCCTTCTGAGGCACACAGAGACTCGGGCCCCTGTGGCCTCCATATCTTTGCTTGGTTGCTCCCTCCCCTGGTGGGAAACCATCCTCTCTTGGCCGGGTCACTGCTCTGTCTGCCACCCACCTCGCTGGGCTCCAGAAAGGCCCCACATGAGAACTTGGGGGACACAAAAAATGTTTTCCTTCCCTACTGTTCTTGGGAACCTAGAAGCAAAAGATGTTTGGAGAACGCATGCATTCCTCATCATCATGATTGAAAGTTGCTGTTGTGTATCAGTAACTGGATTTCCTCTCTGCCTGGGGTGTGTGTGTGTGTGTGTGTGTGTGTTGTGTGTGTGTTGTTTTTTAGGTGATGTGCATTCTGTCGTCTAACCAGAAGAGCTACTACGATGTCATTAAGAAGTACTTGAGCTCGGACTGCCCAATGCCGAGCCAGTGCGTGCTCACCCGGACGCTGAATAAGCAGGGGATCATGATGAGTCTGGCCACCAAGATTGCCATGCAAGTCACCTGCAAACTGGGAGGCGAGCTGTGGGCCGTGGAGATACCTGTGAGGCTTCTCTCACCCTTTCTGGCTTCATCAATCAATTCCTTAAATTAGAAAAAAAAAAAAGTCAAAGTAGAAGATTTTCATATGACCCCAGCGTTATTTGTTTTGTTCCTTCATGGTGTGTTTGCTCTATTGTTCAACCCACTGTGGGGACAGGGACCCAAAAGAAGGGGAAGGACAGCCCTTGTCCTCAAAGGGCTTCCGTTCAACTGGACACATCGAGTACTTTGTAAAAGAGAACTTAGCTGGGCAGACACTCGGAAGGACTTGATCTGGCCCTCCCAGCCACTGCTTTAAAGTCTGAGTCCCGGGGCCCCCACTGTGCCCCCTTCGACCTGCTGGTGCTTGATCTCAGTGCAGCCCCGCACCCTGGGTGGGGCCTCCGCAGAGACTGGGGTGCTGGCATGGCCGATGGTCTGAACTGCCAAACTGAGGGGGTAACTGAGTAAATCCTCTTCCACCTCCTGAAGGGTAGCCCCGGTGGCTGGAAAGGAGGCGAGTGGGAAATGAGGTGAACCCGGTGAGTGAGTGTGCAGCCCATGGGCCTGGCAAGAATTCCTTAGCAATCAATGGAAGTTCTTGTCAGATTCCTTCAGTCCAAAAGCAAGGATACATGGGCTAGCCATTGTCCCAGCTTCTCTTTAGCACTCTGTGTCCCTTGTCCAGTCCCACAGAGGATGGATGACTGTTTGGGCTCAGGAAGTCTCTTGAGTAATTCATTCTTCCCTCGGTCTTTAAGTGTTTCTGGTTTTGGATGAAATCATCTGCCTGATCCAGACTGCGATCTCCTGTGATACATCCAAAACCCCAAACTCACTGCCCCTCAGCTGGTTCTGACTCAGAGCGGCCCTGCAGGACAGGGTAGAACTGTGGGTTTCCCAGACTGAAACGCTTCCTTTCTTTCTCTCGGGGAGCAGCTGGTAGATTTGAACTACCAATCTTGTGGTTTAGTGCAACATGTAACCCACTACACGATCAGGGTTCCCTGATACCTAGCTTCACTTAAATAACTTATTACCTAGGGACAGTTTTGGAAAACTGAACGTGAAATCATTGTTTGAAGAAATGCAACCTTATCCCATTAAAATCCGAACCATTCAATGTTACAGTTAAAGTCCCTGATGGTGGTCGGCATTGATGTCTGTAAGGATGCTCAGAACAAAGGGATAGTGGTGGTTGGATGCGTGGCCAGCATTAACCCCAGAATTACCAGGTAGGATGAAAATCACCCTGATGTGTTCTTCAATTATTGAGACTGTTAATTGTGCTTTAACCAGTTGTTTTAAATACCAACACTTCAGGTCATAAATTATAAAAAAGCATTTTTATAATACTGGGAAAATATGTAACCTCATTAAAAACTTTCCTTACACATTCATTAGAGCAAGCTATTGGCCCAGTGCCTGTTGTATTTTTAATGACTGCTGTTGTTTGGTGGTGCTGAGTCGGCTCCACTCATAATGACCCAATGTACAGAAGAACAAACACTGCTTGCACCATCCTTACCAGTGTTCCTGTGTTTGAGCCCATTGCTGCAGCCACCGTGTCAGTCCATCTTGTTGAGGGTTTCCTCTCTCTCACCACCTTTCTACCGTACAGACTACGGTCTGGGAAACCCACAGGGAGTTCTGCCCTAGAGGTCGCTATGAGTTGCAATTAGCGTGATAGCAGTGCATTTACTGTGGCTTGAGGTTGTAGAAGTTGTTTGCAAAATGTTTTCTTCCCACACTTAAGCTGTCCATAAACTGATGTGGCCCATCAAATATCTACCTGGAATTATGGAAACTGCAACTTTATATCCATCCCTAAAATTAAAGCCAACCATAGAAAGAAAGGTTCCAGTGACAAGTCACTGACTGTCAGGTAGAGATCCACTCCATGGGTATCCAAACTCTGCTCATTCAATCTCTGTGCAGAAGCACTAGAAAGTGGGAAGCATCTGCTTGACTCTGAAAACCTGTAGAGTCAAACATCCATTGGCTGAGGAATCTGAGGCTTAGTTTCACATAGCCACATCGCTGTGGAATTGATTCCGACGCCCCAGGACAGAGTGGCACTGCCCGCGGAGGGTCCAACGCTGTCATCTCCACCGCACCGGAGTGTCACGTCTTTCTCCTCGCACAGCTATGGGTGCGGTGGGTTCCAACTAGACCTGTTTTGGGTCAACAGTGAGGGCTTCACCACGGTGTCACCAAAGGGTCCTTGCCAAGTCCTGCAGCGGATTACTAGACCAGCCAGGATGTGAATGCAGATGTCTACAGAGGTCTAAGGCCAACCATATGCTTTAGCTGTGCTTTTTAATACATTTTCCTTTTTTAGGCGGATGGGGGGCTTTTAAATTACAGTCTTGTTCATATAGCATGTACAAAATCACGAACGTTCATTATGTACACAATGTCTATTTCTTCATTGAACAAGAGCCCGTGTGCCTGGTGTGGAAGTTTACTTTTACCTTCTGCTTACTTTAGATGGTATTCCCGCTGTATCCTTCAGAGAACCACGACTGATGTTGCAGACTGCTTAAAAGTTTTCATGACCGGTACTGAAAATATAGCCAGTCCACAGGCTCCAAGGCCTCTGAAGGTCCACCTGTTTTCAGCAGACCCGATTGGTGGGAACAGGCTCCCCAAGCCTGACAGTGTCAGCCGCCAAGCAGTTGGAGAGTCTCAAAGCTTTGTGCCCACTCAGGCCAGTAGTCGGGCTGTGTAGAATTTACATTTTTCTGTGCCTGATATGAGGAGCGTGGTGGTTATGAGTTGGGCTGCTAACTGCAAGGTCGGCAGTTCAAAACCACCAGCTCCTCTTTGGGAGAAAGACAAGGTTTTCTACTCCCATAAAGAGAGACTCTGGGAACCCCTCCCCCAAGGGCAGTTCTACTCTGTCCTATAGGGTTGCTATGAGTCGGAATCGACTCAGTGGCAGAGTTTGTTTGGTTTTGTTGGTATGTACATGGTAATCTTTTAAGGAGCCCTGTTGGCATAATGGCTACGTGTTGGCTGGTAACCACCAGGTCAGCAGTGCCAAATCCCCAGCTGCTCCAAAGGAGAAAGATGGGGCTTTCTCCTCCCATAAAAAGGTCCAGTCCTGCAGAGTCATAGGGGCAGTTCTCCGCTGTCTTGTCTGAGTGGGCATCGACTATGGCAGGAAGTTTGGTTTGGCTAGCTAACTAAATGGTTAGCGGCTATCTAACTAAAATGAATTTCTTAGATAGCTCTTTTAAACGATTGTGCAATATGACACTCTAGAGGAATCATTGCACAATATTCTTGTTCTTTTATTTCAAAACGTGGTTTTAAGAGTTGTTGGCTCTTTTTTCTTTTTGAGCAGTTGTTATTAAACAGTTCGATTGGGTAGGAGTTGCTGTCTGGTACCTGCTTCTTCAGCAGTCTGCGGTGTGAGTGGGTGGAAGTGTTTTGAGCATTGGCATCATCGGTGAGGGTGGGTGAGTCAGCAGGAAGAGATGTTTTCAGAGCAACAGCGGGCTGTTTTCTTTGTGCTCATTAGGGAAGAAGATGACAGAACGCAGTCCAGGCTCCATCTGCGGAGCTGATTTAGACACTTGAAGCAACTAAATTAGTGCTAATTTGGCTTGAGGCATTTTTATGTCTACTGCCTGAATTAAATTTTAATGTATTGTTTTAATATAAAATTTTACTAAGGACTTGTGCTAAGTTTAAGAATATATCACGCCATGGGAACCTTCTTGTTTCCCCAACTAGTGGAGATGCTCCCTACAGTTACTCCATTTCACATGATCAAAGATACAGCCCAGATCAAATACCCGTCTGCTTTACCATGGTCCTCACTCACCAGCTTATTTATACGCTGAAATAGATGGGGATTCATTCTCCATGGGCATCGAATGAGTCATCCTTCTCTTCCCAACGCCAAATTCTGCAGGCGCGCTCAACAAGTGGTACAAGCACAACCATGAGGTGCCGGCACGGATCATTGTGTACCGCGACGGGGTCGGGGATGGACAGCTGCGAACACTGATTGACTACGAAGTACCCCAGCTGCTGAGCAGTGTGGCCGAATCCAGCTCCAGTGCCAGGTATTAAATCTTCCTCTTTCCAAACCCCCTCCAGGATAGCATATTCAACTGCACCTGATCAATCCAAGTATGCAACTCTCTCTCCCTCTCTAAAAAGCATGGGCAGTTAAGCTGTGCTTTTTCTGTTTCAGGGGAGCACAACTAGTTAGACTTCCTTGGGATTGGAGAGAGTCAAGGTACAAACCGAAATCCAAACTGGTTGCCGGGAGTCTTCCAGTCCCTGTGGCCCAGTGTGCTGGACTCCAGAGGCTTGTCGGTGGCTGATTTTCTGGCAGTAGACTTCCATGTCTTTCTTCTGAGGCACCTCTGACCTCTGACTTCTAGGTTATGCGTCAAGCACAGGTACTATCTGTACCACCCAAGGAGCCCATGTGGTTGGGATGTCAAGTTGACTTCCCTCCTAGTGACCCCGTAGGATAGAGTAGACCCCCGCAGGGTTTCCTTGGCTGCCATCAGCCACAGAAAAGAAGGCCGCATCTTTCTTCCTAGGGGCACCTGGCGGGTTCAAGCCGGCAGCATTTGGATTAGCACCCAAGTGTGGAAACCAGTGTACCATCTGGCTCCTTGCAGTCAGACTAGCATGAACTAGCCAGCCTGGGTGGTACCCGATCTGTGAGGCCGGGGTGGGGTTCCCTCGAAAGAGGCGGTGGTCCTGATGGATAGCTGAAGCAGATTCAGCCAGAGGCTCCTAGGATTGCTGACAGGTGAAGGCATTTCATACAGAATAACAGGTCACGGGGCAGGGGGGTGGGGGTGGGGGAATAACAAGCTGTGGGGGGAATAACAAGCTGTGGGTTGACACTGTGGTCCAATGAGCACACGGGACAAAGCCTCTGGACCTCAGTCACAGGTGTGCAGTGACCCCCCACTGCCATGAGGTCAGTGTGAGCAGACCTGCGTCCCCTTGGGCTTGCAGTGACGGAGTGATTTGGAAGCAGCTTTCCAGGACTTTCAAGGCCACGCTGGGTGGAACGGAACCTCTAACCTTTCGATTACCTACCAGCCGAGCAAGGGAACTGCATTGCCCCAGCTGGGGACCCTCATGTGTGGGTGCGTAAGTGGAAAGTGCTGAAAAGCTGGCGTGTGAAGGCGGAGACAGGTGGGGATCTGACCATGTCACACACCCGGCACTGCGCTGCTCCCTTGTCAGGTGTTTAACTGTGACGTACTCTGAAGTGTCGGTGGGGAGCAGAATTAGAAATGGAAAATGGCAGAGAATGATCATCTAAAGGCTGGACCTTAAAGTATTTGGAAAACATTTTGTTACAAGCAGGGCACACAGTTCTGCCTGTAGGATGGCGCCATCATCCAGCAAAGCATCCCAGACAGGAGCCCCGGGGGAGCTAAGGCTGAACCTCTGTCCTGGCTCGTCGAGAGCAGTGAGCATCCAAAACTCCAAAACCCAAGCTCATGGCCACACGTTGATGCTGACTCAGAGCAACCCTCTAGGACAGGGTAGACCTGCCCCTGTGAGTTTCTGAGATTATCGCTCTGTATGGGAGTAGAAGCCTCCTCTTTCTCCCATTGAGCAGCTGGTGGTTTCAAACCGCTGACCTTGCAGTTGGCAGCCCCACATGTAAGCACTACACCATCGGGGCTTCTTCAAGAGTCTGATAGTGCTAAACAGCACACTGTCCACTGATGTCAGGTGACTGCATTGGCATCCCGGCACGCAGCGGTGCTTTTAGCAGGAGGAATGAGGAGGGGTTACTCTTCTTGTACTCTGCGAGTAGTGCCAGCGGTCATTTTCAGCTCAGAGGGACCCAGGTGACATAATAGATTTGTCCCGTGGGGTTTTTCTTGGCTGTGATCGTTATGGAAGGCATTGCCATGTCTTTTTCCCTCAGAGCCACTGCGTGGTTTGAATCAGCAGCCTTTCAATTAGCAGCTGTTTGTACCATCAGTTCTCTGTTGTTCTATTTTGTTCTGTTTTTAGGACTATAATATCAAAGTCAAGAATTTTTCCAATATTAGAAACATTAGTGATAATTTTTCATTTTTAAAAATAATATTTCAAGTGAATTTTCAGTGTTCATTGCATTCTCAAAGTTCCTTGTATGGTGGCAAATACAAAGGGTATCCAAAAAAGTTCATGGAAAAATTCCATTATCTCTTTTGACAGTTGCATGAGCCATACAATTAAATATATTCAAAAGAGTTGTGCAGTCACTACCACAGTCAATTTTAGAACATTTTCTTCATTCTTGTACCATTATTATTAGCTGCCCGTTTCATCCTAACCTCCCCTGCAATAACCCTAAGGAGCTGTTAATCTCGCTCCTATTGCTGTGAAGCACCTCTCCTAGATCTCACATAGAGAAAGCCATACCCGCCCACCAAAAACCCAGAAAATCAATAATGACAACAAAAGTAAGCACAGGGAAAAACAAACCCAAAAGAAAGCAGATGTTAATAGTAAGTATAACAAATTAGAAACAGGTTAAAAGGGGAAACGAATGCTAATCTGTTACATTTTGACCTAACTGTGTCTATAGTAATCCACTTGCAATGCACTTTCTGAGGGTAACTATTCACATCTCTGGTCAATGGTCTGACGCAGTTCATTGAAGGCTTACTCTGTGTAAGGGCTCTGCAATGGATTTTGGGCTTTCACTACCATCCGTAGCCTTCTGCGGACTGGGTGCTCAGGATATAAACTCTCATATAATTCCCTCCTCTGATCTTGGGTTTTATTATTTACAATCCTTGGGAAACACTCCTAAAGGTCAAAACACAGACCTGGAACTATTCATAGGCTTTTCATTTTTTTGTTGTTGGTTTTTTGTTTTCTTTCGTTGTGTTATTTTGCTCTGTCTAGTTGTTGTGCTTATTATTGTCTCTGCATATCTATCTATCTAGATAAGATGGGCAGTATAAACAATCTGGAGGAGAAAACAACTGGACCAGTGGTTCTGCGGGTGGGGGGAGGGAGAGGGGGAGGCAGGGGAAAAGAAGGGGTGTTCCAACAAACCCAGGGACAAGGGACCAACAAGCAATCTAAAATCGATGGCAAGGAGGGCATAGGATGCTTGGTGGGGCTTGATCAAGGGCAGTGTAGCTGAGAGGAATTACTGAAATCTGAATGAAGGCCGAAGATGATAGTGGGACAAGTGGAAAGTAAAAGGAAATAGAGGAAAGAACTAGGAGGCAAAGGGCATCTATAGAGGTCTAAATACAGGCATGTACATATGTAAACATATATAATGATAGGGAAATAGGTTTATGCATATATATTTATTTGTTGAGTATTATGGCAGCAGATGGACATTGGACCTCTACTCAAATACTGCCTCAATGCAAGAACATTTTGTTCTAATAATCTGGCATTCTGTGATGGTCACCTTCCCTGACAAGATCACTGAAGACAAAATGGGTGCATATGAAATGTGGTGAAGAAAGCTGATGGTACCTGGCTATCAAAAGATATACCATCTGTGGTCTTAAAGGCTTCAAGATAAATAAGTGTCCATCTAGCTGAGAAGCAACAAAACCCACATGGAAGAAGCACAGCAGCCTGTGTGATCATGAGGTGTCTATGGGATCAGGTATCAGGCATCAAAGACCCAGAACCAAAAAAATCTTACCAATGTGAATGAGGGGGAGTGTGAAGTGGACACCCAAACCCCTTCTGTAGACAATTAGACCTCCCCTTACAGAAGGGTCACAAGGAAGAAACGAGCCAGTCAGGGTGCAGTATAGCACCAATGAAACATATAACTTTCCTCTTGTCCTTTAATGCTTCCTTTCCCCACTAACATGACCCCAATTCTACCTTACAATCTGGATAGCCCAGAGCATGTCCACTGGTACAGATAAGAGCTGGAAACACAGGGAATCCAGGACAGATAAGCCCCTGGGGACCAATAATGAGAGTAACCATACCAGGAGGGTAAGGGTAAGGTGGGAGGATAAAGGGGGAACCAATCACAATGATCTACATATCACTTTTTGCAATTATTTTATAGATTTCTGAGAGTATTATCATATCCATTGTGTTGTTGCTAAAATTTTTATCCAGTCTGTGGGCTCGTTTTTTACCTTTTAGATACACACAGGAGTCTTATTTTCAGTCGACTTGTCCTCTGTGTGCATTTCCTTGATTGCATTAGATAGTATGTGTCTGCCCTGAAGTTTTTCCCTGTTTTTCCATTGATCTTTATAGCTCTAGGATTTGCACTGAGGTCTTTGATCCATCTTCAGATGGTTTTGTATGTGAGGCGGGTGAGGTATGAGTCCTGTTTCATTCTTCTCCTGGAGACCCAGTTTTGCCAGCACCATTTGTTGAAGAGACTTGCTCTTTCCCAAATAATGTTTCTTTGTCCTCTGTTGAAGATCAGTTCCCTGTAAGTGGATGTACCTATTTCTGGGTTTTCTGTTCTGTTACATTGGCTTATCTTTCATTTCTATGTGTTTACCAACTTCTTGAAGCCCGCTTGGCATTTGATTTTGGCCATGACTTTTCCAAATGCTAACTTGTAAGACCAGGTGACTCATCACTTAGCCAACGTGTACATTTGGGTCCATTCCTTCACCCAGCCAGGCAGGTGTTGTGTAATTCAAGAGGGAGGATTTGAGAAGTCAGGGGAAATAGTGATTCTTCTACCGCTACCCAGAAGTAAAGTTGAAAGGAAAAATGAAAGTGGAAATAGAGTGACTATCCTAATGGCAAATGAAACAAGACTTCTCCATGGTCAGCTGTGGAAATCTCCTCAGAAGTATTCATGGAAGCCCATGAACTGTCTCTCATCTCCCCCATTCAAACGATACAATCAGGCCCATGATGGTTTCAAGTCTTTCCTAACAAATGAGGAAAATCCCTAAGTTTAAAAAAATTCTATATATATCTGGGAGAAGAAGAATTATGAGTAATTTTGCATCTTTTCTTACAGGTCTTTAAATTTTTTCTATTTCATTAAAGAGCTTACTGAAAAAACTGATAACTAGAAATGGCAGGATGTGGTGTGGCTTCTAATCTTATGTGCGACTTCTCCTGCCCCAAGCTCTAGACTCTCGGTGATTGTGGTGAGGAAGAAGTGCATACCACGGTTCTTTACAGAGAGGAACCACACTTTGCAGAACCCACCACTAGGCACTGTCGTGGATTCAGAAGCAACCCGTCCTGCTTGGCAAGTACCGTTAGAAAATGAGTTCAAGTTCAGAAGGGTCACAAGGAAGAGGCGAGCCAGCCGGGTGCAGTATAGCACCGATGAAACATACA